ATCGTCATTATCATTACCGTCATCATCATTATCGCCAGGTGGATGGTAGTCACACTTGTCACCATGACGGTTCTTACCGTGACGGTTACATTGTTTATCATCTTCCTTGTCATCTGGGTCTCCTGGTTTTGGTTTAGGACCTTGATAATCACAATTCTTTCCATCACGTCCTCTTCCATAACGGTTGCATCCCTTATCATCTGGTGTATTATCGTCATCTCCATTACCAACTCTTCCAGCACTTGCAAATCCTGCAGTACCATCACTTTCTTCAGTACTTTCAACTACCGCAGTATCGTCACCACTTACTTCAGCACTTTCATCACTTCCTTCGGTACTTTCAACTCCAGCACTTTCAACTCCAGTACTTTCAACTGCTGTACTTTCAACTGCTGTACTTTCAACTGTTGTAGTACCACTTCCATCAGCATTTCCATCACTTCCTTCGATGCTTTCAACACCTGTACCGTCGTCACTTCCTTCAGCATTTTCATCACTATCTTCGGTACTTTGAACAGCACTATCAACATTTCCTTCGGTACTTTCAACTCCTGCAGTACTAACATCACTTCCATCAGTACCTTCAACTGCTACAGTACCATCATTATTCCCTTCAGTGCCATCATCAGTAATGTCCCTTGAAGAAAGCTTACTCCAACCAATACCTCTCCATCCAAGCTTATGTTTTCCAACATCCCTATGGTAAATAGAAGTCAACGAATTGGTAGTTCCTTTGTCATTAAGACTTCTCCTGAGCTTAGCTCCCTCTTCATGAGCAACAACTGCCGTGGCTATACTGAATAAAACTGCGACGTTTTCGAATTTCATGCTTAACACTTTATTCTGATTGTCTCAGTCGTAATTGATGTCCGAACCAACAATAAACTTTTAGGAAAGCGTCCCATATAAATACCTTTTCGAGTATGTTTTGACATCCATCAACATCACTGTATGGTCATCAACTAATTCCCTCCTCTTCAAGTTACGCTTCTGCAAATCACTGTTCTATTATGGTTAATGGGATCAATATTTCTGGGCATTCTACAATTCACATAGTTAACATCCATGAAATCTACAATAAGAACCCGTAATACGAATTCCTATAAAATATCCAAATCTCATTTCACGAAAGCTCGATCCTAGCCGGGTCTAGATTGTGTTTAATAGAAAATAAACTCGAAGTAACCCTACCAGGTCCCCAATACTACGATAAACCTTCGTAAAAAATCTTCTACATGGAAAATAATTAGATCAACTGATTCACTTACAGTGTCAGCCCCTCTTCGGTTGTTGTCCAAGATCTACTACTTTACGATATCACCTAAAATAGATTACTATTTCCCAATAACATAAGACGATTATGTCAAAGTTGACTGCAAATGAACTCCGATTTCGTCATGATATTATTTTGTCAAAAAATTATTCAAATTATGTATATACGACTATAGTATAGCGATGATCATTGGACGTAATAAAAAGGGTTCATTAAGTTAACCTTATTTACTCGTAAATAATATTCCCATGTTGATATTTATGCAAGCGAGGTATTTATAGAATATTTAACAATTCGAATTATATAACCATGCTGGTCATTATTATTATATTGATGTTAGCACTATAGCCATGCGTTATCCGTAGATGCTGACGGATCCAAATGGTTTTGGTAACAATTAATATCTCAGACACGATATGTCCTGGACTACTACATGTAGAGCTTGTTATTACCCTGGCCAAAGCCTTGTAATAAACGTAAGCGAACACGAAGGAGCAGGGCCCCTCGTGTTTGAAAGTTTTGTTTTTGTGGGGTAACAATAGCATCAACTTTGATGGGTTAGTACTTGGCTCGTATTTATGCTGCGTATGATAAGCCCGATGTCGTCTGTGCGTCGATGTAGTGCTTATCTTCAATCCTTGCATCAGCGTAGATATAACGATACCATGATTCACCGATTCTTAAAATAGAAACCATGATCAAGATAGCTTCTGCTTGGTTCTGACCAGACCCCCTTAGCCGTTCATAATTCTGTATCACTTTACGCAATTCTCGTATCAAAATCTCTGTGCGCTAATTTAGTATCATCAATTAACTGGACACAATTTCACCCTTGCATGGTTAACAGCATCACGATAAAGCCATATGTCCGTATATATTCCAGGCAGCTTTTTGCAGTCGTATCATGTTCATTGCTATATCGTCTGTTTCTCTATAATGATTTATCCTCTGTATTAGTGTATATTGCTATATCGTCTATCCCTCTATATTGATCTTCTATTAATCCTCTGTATTAGTGTATATTTCCGCTCCGATCTACTCTTTCTCTACCAACCTATCAAGAAACACTCCGGGTCTAGGCGAACAGCCTAATTTTAATCTACTTCCATTCATTGCATCCATAATCAATGCACCATACAGAAAATGCAGTTTACCGACCCCCGAGACAAGCGGATTTACGACTTGTCGAAGGTTTGTATATTCGATTCTATCTCTAACCTAAAACCGTTTTTCCCGCAAATGCATACGATCGCCTCATTTGCAACGTATCGTGCTCCATTTATCATCAGTATTCGCAATCATAATAATAAACCATATCAACTCGAATGTATAACAAAGCCTTTGCTTAAACTCTATTCTTGCAATTATTTACCAATATCGCGAACCTTAATATCTACGACTCTCATCTATCCAATTGCCACATACGAATTATTTGTGTAGGCGACCACACCAGCCCATCCATTAGCAGTCTATCCATCCAGCACCAAATGTTCATTACCGATCTATCTACTACCACCTGTCCACACAATATTGCTAACGGATAGCTCCAGTTCCCAATTCCGAGCTCACTATACAAAAAAGACACGGTCTCTGTTGACTACCTGTTTACGCTAGATCGTATCTGTGGATGCCCCTGCAGAACCAGCGCATACAATGCAGACGGGAGTCCGTTCCTGCATCTATTTAAAATGTAACGTTGCATGGATATATATCCGGGTAATGTATATTATTGTAACCTGTAAATAGTTTTCTGACGTGAGCCCTGTGATTTGTCCCAGGTTTTGCAGGTTAGTTCTCCGTCAATTCATCGATCAATCTGGGCCGCTTTGCATGAGTACCCCTAAAACAACTATTGATAGAACTTGATCTTTATCGCATACAATAGGATATAAGAAGATACTCTATAGTACAAGAAGATATCGATTGAGAAATTACCAATTTGAAATAGGATTATACGATAGTAAAATATAGTATAACATAGAATATTGCGTACGGAGTTATTTGGATTGCCACTGATAAAAATAGCGATTGGAAGATCAAGAATCGAATAAAACGAAAAGAATAGGTAGCACAATGACAGACAATCAGTATGCTACAGAAGAATTGAATCAATTGCAGAAAGAGATTGTTGCTAAGAATCCAATTGATGTGTTGCAGTTCTGCGCCAATTACTTCAACTCGAAGTTGGAGCTCCAGAGATCGCAGTTGTGGCAGCAGCAGAATAAAGCGAAGGCGGCAGGAATCAACTTGTTCCCGCTGATTGACAATGTGTTCAATTCGGACGGCGGGGCCATAATGACGGCGAACAAGAGACAGCCTAGCTTCAAGTCGCCATTTGGGGACAACGATCCGACGCTGATCGACCACCACCACCATGATGATGATCCTAAGGAAGCGCCAGGGGCGTCGAAACAGGAAGACAAGGCCGATTTGTTCAAGGGAGGATTTGGTGTTGGCAAAAGTACGTCGCTGAAGCCATTGCAGGAGTTGGATCCTAACGACCCATCAAATTCGGCTTCCCAGGACGCAAATGCTGCTCCACCGGTGCCTAAGTCCAAAATACCAGTTGCGTTCAATGCGAATAGAAGAACCTCGGTATCGGCAGAAGCCATGAACCCCGACAAGTTCAAGTCTGACTCGTGGAAGCCTCCGATCAACGACTTGACTCACGCACAAAAGGTCGAGTTATCCAAGACGTTGGGTTCCAATTTTCTTTTTCGCCAATTAGATGCCAGCTCGAAGAAGACGGTTATCGAGGCGTTAGGAAAGAAAGAGTTCAAGAACGGCGATGAAATCATAAAGCAAGGGGATGAAGGGGACTACTTCTACATAATCGAAAACGGTACCGTTGATTTCTACGTCAATGGAAACCAGGTCAACTCCAGTGGTGAAGGGTCTTCTTTCGGTGAATTAGCATTGATGTACAACTCGCCAAGAGCTGCCACTGCAGTGGCGGCCTCCGAACCAGGGGTCACCTGTTGGGCGTTGGATAGACAAACATTCCGTCGTATTTTATTGGAACGTACGTTCAATCGAAGATTGATGTACGAAGACTTCTTGAAGGATGTCAAAGTGTTGTCCAGCTTATCGAACCAGGAAAGACTGAAGTTGGCCGATGCCTTGAGCACAGAGATCTACCACAAGGGAGATAAAATCGTCAAAGAAGGCGAGCAAGGTGAAAACTTCTATTTCATCGAAAGTGGTAGCTGCCAGGTTTCTAAGGAGGACAAAGGTGTACTCACCAAGTTATCAAAAGGTGACTATTTCGGTGAGGTTGCATTGTTGAACGATTTGCCAAGACAAGCCACTGTAGAAGCATTAGATACTGTTATTGTCGCAACCTTGGGTAAATCGGGCTTCTCCAGGTTATTGGGCCCTGCGGTTGATATATTAAAGAGTCAAGATCCTACTGCGAACCAAGGCTCCGGTAATTAATTACCGTTATCCTTGAACCGATAACATTCTTATCGTTTTGATGACCCATTGATGCTTAGTATTGTTTTTTTGTTTATTCATGTTTATTCACATATATGTGTTTAGTTTATGTAATTTTTATTTAGTAACGGATAATGCAACACTGATTTCGCGAGTGTATGAAAAATTCTTCAAGAAAAACCACAAATGTTTATGGAAAATCACCTTTAAACATCAAAATGATCCCATATTTCCAATCATTCTTACCAACAACTACGTCGCAGGGAGGATATTTGCCCCACTGGTTATTATTCATATCCGTTGTTTCGATTTTCAATTCCTTGCAGACATATCAATCACCCGATTTGACATTAACCAGAAGAGTCTATGAATCAGCCCCAACAACCGAAGTTACCAAATTGAGTGCTAGAACCTTCGGTACTTGGACATTCATTACGTCAATTGTCAGATTTTACGGTGCGTACTACTTGGTGGGTAACAAACAAATCTACGAGTTATGTATGTGGAGTTTTGCTGTGGCCGGAGGACATTTTATCAGTGAATGGTTGTACTTCGGTAACTGCAAATTAGGTAAAGGATTGGCAGGCCCATTGATTGTCAGTAGCACCAGTTTGCTCTGGATGTACTTGCAAAAAGACTTTTATCTTAATTGAAGCAATGTGAGTCCTCGAGATACGATCATCCTCATAAAGTGCAAAGTAAAATTATCTCATTTAACTTTAGCTTTTAGTTTAATTTGAGCTAAATAAGTATGTTGTGTATGTGTAGTATATGGACATTAAAATAGAATTTCGTAATATGCTTCTCTATCGTATTCTTGGCCTGGGTCATCTTTGCGTACCAACAGAGATGGTACCAATAGAGCACACATGCGGCAGGAATTATTCCTTCAAACTACTCTTCCTGAATGCACAGTCCCATTCATCTAGCTTCAATAACATTAGTAGCCCATATATACCGCATACTTGACAATAAGTTTGATTTTCGCCTGTTGCGGTTCTATGAAATGCACAAGCCCACTGTTCAGAGCATAACCGTTGTCAATTTTACTCTATTTAGAATTCTATTTTCTTATTCAAGTATCTACTAACTACTAAATAACCCACATCTTGTACACCAATCACGAGTATCTGCAAGTAATCGCTACTATTTGATAATCGTATTTTATGTATTGCTCGCTCCAGATCATATCGGTAGGTCTATGTTCATATTGCACCCAACTCGAACTTATCCACCAAGCAATGTTTCAGTTATCAAGCACATACATTCAACCGAATAACTACTAGTCTACCGTATCTGGTCTTCAAGCTGATAATATATCTTCAACTTCTTCTTAAACAAATTGTACACCTGGTTATTGGTCGGAGTTCTCCGGATACTCCGCGGAGTATCTTATCACGAGAGATAAGATAGCATATAAATATGGAACTTATTCTACTAAGGATATCATTTATTTCTAGTACCATAATTCTAATATCGTAGTTTTAATAACGTAAATTAATACATTGTTGAAACAGTTACATATTAACATATATCAAATGACTCAAGCAAGTACATTGGAAGTTACACCACTCGCGGACAAGCCTTTTGGGTGTATGGTCAGTCTCCCAAGCTATTGTGATAACGATCCCCTGAAATTAAATGAAGACGATTTTAAAAAGTTGTTTGCGACAGTTCATACACATTTGGTGGTAGTTGTTAAGGATCAAGCTAAATTGAGTCCAAAATCACAATATGAACTTACCAAGAGATTTGACCCCACGATTCCTGAACCAAAGCAGGAGGGATTTGCAGGATATGGTCACGGTAAGGAGTTCAGACATGAACAATCAGTATTAAGAAAGGACGGTACCACTGTTAAATCGCAACCACAGGTTCAAATTTTAGGGCAAGGTACTTTTGAAGCCAATGAACCTGGGAACGAAAATGGAGAGGCCATTTCGCTAACTCACCCTTCGCATACCACATTCCACCACACGCCATTGACCCAAGATGAAATTAAGAACCAACACAAAACTCGATTCTACAGATGGCACCTAGACTCGGCTTTGTATGATTTGTTGCCTCCAGTGGTTACGACATTATTGGGGATCAAAGTTCCTCCTGCGTCAGAGATGCAAACTATCTCATACGAAGGCTCGGACGAAGAATTAAAGTTGGCACCGGGTGCAACTTGTTTCGTTAGCGGTCAACAAGCCTTTGATAGGTTATCGGACGAGGAGAAGCAGTTTGCCGTAAACACAACTGTCGAATATCCTCCTCATCCTTATATATTTATTTCTCCTGCTGGAGCCACCTCCGATGGGTTGACCATGGTTTCTGAGGGTAAAGAACTAGCCTTCGACAAAATGCCCGAATGGGATCCAGAAAAGATTAAACGTTTACCAATGGTTTGGACAAACCCTGTGACTAACAAGAAGCACTTGCAGGTGCATGGCTGTTGTTTGTACAAATTACACACTAAATGTCCAGATGGGTCTATTAAAACTTTAGAATTAGAAGATGCTCGGAGAAAGGTTCATTCTATGATGAGACCTGCTATTTCCCCTTCTAAAGTCTTAGCTCATGCCTGGAATGAAGGAGATTTAGTGCTCTTCTATAATAGAGGTGTATTGCATAGTGTTACGGGTGAACTCAAAGGAGTTAAAAACGGGAACGACGAAAGGAGGTTGATGCACCAATGCAATATTGCTAGTGGTATTGAGCCTGTTCTTGTTCAGTAGTTATATATGGCCTAGTTATTAAAATAAAAGCGTATGAATATTAAATTTACCGATTTTAGAATTTTTACTGGTTCGCTGATAAGCTCGAAGCCTTTTTCATCATCGAAAATTATGATTAATTTGGAACTCTTTTTCTTCAATTGTTGATAATTATGGGACATTATATAACATTAGCCACCTGTAACCTAAACCAATGGGCATTGGACTTTGAGGGTAACAGAGATCGTATCATTACCAGTATCATTGAGGCCAAAAAATTAGGTGCTAAGCTAAGAGTTGGACCTGAATTAGAAATTTGTGGATATGGATGTTTAGACCATTTCTTAGAGAATGACTTATATGACCATTCGTGGGAAATGTATGGTCACATATTGACTAATCCAAACACTCAAGACATTTTGCTTGATGTTGGTATGCCAATTATACACAAATCGATTAAGTATAATTGTCGTTTACTCTCGTACAATGGGAAGATATTACTAATTAGACCAAAGCTTTACTTGGCAAATGACGGTAATTATAGAGAAATGAGATATTTTACTCCTTGGAATAGACCCAAGTACTATGAATCATTCCAGTTGCCTAAACATATTAGCTCTGTTACTGGACAATCCAACGTGACGTTTGGGGATTGTGTTATACAAACGTTGGAAACCACTCTAGGGGCCGAAACATGTGAAGAATTATTCACTCCTCAGTCTCCTCATATTTCTATGGCGTTAGATGGGGTTGAAATTTTCACCAACTCATCCGGATCACATCATGAATTGAGAAAACTAGATACAAGATTACAATTGATCACAGGGGCCACTAAAAAATGTGGAGGGGTCTACTTGTATGCTAATCAAAAGGGTTGCGATGGTGATAGGTTATATTACGATGGTTGTGCTTGTATTATTGTCAACGGTAAGGTCGTTGCACAGGCATCTCAATTTTCCCTTCGTGACGTTGAAGTTGTTTCAGCTACAATCGATCTAGATGACGTTAGATCTTACCGTAACCAAAAGCTGTCAGCATTTCAATCTGTTTCTCAGTCAGATTCGACAGTTTACCATCATATTCCTACTGACATCGAATTGTCCCCAAATAGTAATGTTTTCAATCCAAATGTAAAACCTTCTCCTTACGGTGATATCAGATACCATCTACCAGAAGAAGAAATTGCATTAGGACCTGCTTGTTGGTTGTGGGATTACTTGAGAAGATCTAAATGTGCCGGGTATTTCTTGCCTTTAAGTGGAGGTATTGATTCTTGTGCTACTGCGGTTATTGTTCACCTGATGTGTAGATTAGTTGTTAAGTCTTGTGAAGAGGGCGATAAGCAGGTTATTTCTGATATCCAATCTTTAACTCACGATCCAGAGTTTTTTCCAAAAACACCACAGGAAGTTGCTGGTAGGTTGTTTTACACCAGTTTCATGGGTACTGAAAATTCTTCACAAGAAACTAGATCGAGAGCTAAGGAACTCTCAGAAAAAGTTGGGTCTCATCATATCGATATGAACATGGACTCTTTGGTAAGCGCTGTTGTCTCCGTTTTTGAAGTCGCCACCGGTAAAAAACCAATTTTTAAGATATTTGGAGGTTCACAGACAGAGAATTTGGCATTACAGAATATTCAAGCTAGGTTACGTATGGTGTTGAGTTATCTTTTTGCCCAATTGTTACCCTGGACTAGAAACATTCCAGGCGGGTTATTGGTTTTGGGAAGCGCCAATGTTGATGAATGTATAAGAGGCTATTTGACTAAATACGACTGCTCTAGTGCCGATATCAACCCGATTGGGGGAATCTCCAAGACAGATTTGAAGAAATTTATCGATTGGGCTGACAAGAATTTCGAATTGCCTATTTTACATGACTTCTTAACCGCAACTCCTACTGCCGAATTAGAACCAATAACTCAAAACTACGTACAAAGCGATGAAGTTGATATGGGTATGACTTATGATGAATTGTCCAGATTTGGTAGATTGCGTAAAGTCGATAAATGTGGTCCCATGGCAATGTTTATTAAATTGTATCATGAATGGTCCCAGCCTCCACTTAACTTGACTGCTGAACAGGTTGCTGAAAAGGTTAAGAGGTTTTGGTTTTTCTATGCCATTAACAGACATAAAATGACTACAATGACACCTTCCTATCATGCTGAACAATATTCTCCAGACGATAATAGATTCGATTTGAGACCGTTTTTAATCAATCCTAGGTTTCCGTGGTCCAGTAAAAAAATCGATGAAGCGGTCGATATAATAAACCAAAGGTCTGAAGAAATTAAGAAAGCCAACCTAAGTGTTGATTAATATATAAGTATGAATATGTACAATGACTTGGTTGACTTTTATGCGCGATGTAGAAAAACGAAAATTGATGGATGCAAAATCTACTCTATAACGATTCTTATTCAATTAACTTAACATGGGTGCTTAGTATTAATATTTGGAACATAACAATAGAAGTTATGGCATATAAGGTACCATATTTTGCTACTTCTGATGATGGAAGTATTTTTTCAAAATTTTTATTAGTTTTTTTTAAATTTCAATTAATTCTTACGATAATATATTAAACTAATAAAATTGGAAAAAATAATTTCATTGCAGATTCATATTCATATTCAATTGATAATATAGTTAACGAAAGATTTAATCATATATATATCAGTAGAACGAAAAAATTCTTTAAAATATACATTTTCTATAACTAATCATGAATCTTACCACCCCATTTAGGGACGAAACCGAATTCTTTCTTCATATATTCATCAGGAGAATCATTCCTCCTGACAAAATCAACGAGACTGATACTTATTTGCTTTGGGATGTCTTCTTGAATAAAATGTCCGGTATTTTGGGTATTATTGAAGACTATTAATTGATATTTACCTTGCATTTGGCCAATGATTAAATTTGTATCTAAAGTCTCATGGCCGGACAAGACTAGCAATTTGGCTATTCGTTGAGGTTTACCACAATTTATGAAATTAGCCGAAAGACCGATAAACCAAGTTTCCCAGAATGGTTCAGTTTCTTGTAGATTGGTTTTCCAAATTAAGCCATTGGGACATTCACGTAGCAAATCTGGCACACTGACGAGAGCTGATTCTTCGCTATGTAATAGGTGTGAGTCTTTTATATGCCAATCGATTGCTTCTTGGTAGTCATCGAATGTAGTTGGTCTTTTCCGAACGAACTGGGGCATTGCACTCAACGCCTTAATGGCAGTTTCTTCTACGATATCAAGCACGATTAAACCCTTGAATTTGTAAGCATTATCCGGATTAGCCACAAGATAGTTTGTCAAAACTGCTCCACCTAAAGAATGGCCCAATAAATAAATAGAAGACTTTGGTGCATGTTTGGCATGGAATTCATCTATTATAAATGTACAGTCATTCGTTATCGTGGCTAACGAATAATCAGGTGGAATCGTTGTAGATGAGTTACCATGACCTCGCATATCGTACGTGAATAATCCTGGATATTCGTTGTCCTTGCCATATTCGTTAGCTAATGATTGTGCTAACTTGCAAAATGTCATAGAGGAGGAACCTGCTCCATGATGACATATGAATATGGGTGCACTGGAAGATGATGGCGGCTTGAAATATGTTTGCAATCGGACACCTGATCTTGGATCCGTATATATATCAGCTATCAGAAACACGTCTCTTTTAGTATCATAATATGCTTTCCGTATATGTCCGTGACGCCCTTCATTTATATGGGTTTTTGTTTCATTTGGCGGTTGGGGTGTTGGACTGAAATAATTAGAATCAGATTCAGATTCATCGGGTTCTTCAGAAAGCAGCGATAATCCAAAAGCCCTTTCTTGTTCTTTTATCTTCTTGAGGAATTGTTTATGGAGATCTGACATTCCAGTTTTAAAAAGCACGGTATAAACAATAACGATTTATGCTCGATCTCAGATGAGTTGAAATATTTCTGTCAAAAAGAATTACAATTTAATATAGATACAAACGAAGACGCAGCATGACTGACATGATACCGATCTTTACAAATATGGCTATCGCCTTATTCGTTGGTTACCGAGCTATGATAAAGAATGAAACGCCAGTTGCATGTATTTTAGTTTCCAGAAGTACAAATCAAATTTTGAGTATAGGGTATAATGATACTAATCGGTCGCTAAATGGTACGAGACATGCCGAATTCATAGCTATAGATAAGGTGATGGGTCAAATTCCAGTACAAGATAGATCTGATATTGCTAAGATTCAGGCATTTTTTGGTGATGTAATATTGTATGTGACAGTAGAACCATGCATAATGTGTGCATCGGCATTGAAACAGATTGGGATCGGCTACGTAGTATATGGCTGTGGAAACGATAGATTTGGAGGAAATGGAACAATTTTGAGTATCCATCAAGATAAAATCAATAAGGCGTATCAAAGTTATGGAGGTGTCTTGAGGACAGAGGCCGTTCAGTTACTAAGAAACTTTTATATTCAAGAGAACGATTCGGCACCGAACCCCAAGATTAAGAAGAACAAAGAGCTAGAAAATAAGGAATACCCTCCTAATTTAGACTTTAAAGAGTATTTGTCACCAGAAGAGTTCACTGAATTCTTTGGAAGAGAAAGGTTTGCTGCATCGTATAATAACAGAGAACGGGAATTAACCCCCGTTCTCAACCGTGGGTATACATTAAGAGACATTCTAAGCATAGAGGACCTCCTTGCGGTATCTGATTTGGAAGAAATGTATCAAGAGAAGGACTTTAAGAACAAGCTAGAAAATGATTTGGAAGAAATGTATCAAGAGAAGGACTTTAAGGACAAGCTAGAAAATGATTTGCAAAATTTCTATGGATTGTTCTACGATATTGATCTTGAAGGAAAGGTTGATTTCAATAAGATAATAACCAAAATTGACCAAATTGCCCAGATTAACCAATCTGATCCACCTGAATCGGTTAATCAAGTGGTCCAAGTTGACGGCTTCACTGCAGACTTAGACTGTAAGAAGAGGAAACTAAATGCATGAATAAAAACATTAATATAAATCATGGCATGGACCACAATGATATTATCCTTACAAGACTAAGGCTAATATTCGCTTAGGTTCGAATTATTAACAGATATGCTGCACTTTATCTGTATTTTTGCATCAACTAATAATAATATCTTCTGTACGCATATAATAACGCATTATCATAGACAGTAATAATAAAACTAGATAATAGATCTATATACGTAGTCTTCCAGACAAGAGTACCGTAACTGCTGTGTTCTTCATGGATATTTATATAATATTAGTCGTTAATGCTTCTGACATATTGCGACATTCGTTGATACTAAAATAAATGTCGGGCATCTTCAAAAATATCATCTTTAGAAACTTCTTCTTCATTCATTATGGATGAGTCAGACGAGGAATATATCGCTCCTCAACCTACAGCTGCTGATACACCGAGTGGTATCTCATCAAATGAGGCTAGCCAAAAAGAATCGCTGGTACTGGCAGATGGTGTTTCAAAGCGGACCAGATCAAGTGGCATGACCCACCAACCTCGAAGTGGAGCAGTAGGTGACTTAAAAAGTGCAAGCGGTGGATATGCATGGGAAGATGAATACCAAAGACCGTGGGATATTGTTAAGGATGATGATGATGGTCGTTCGCTTGAGACCATTATTCAAACTATGATCGAAAATAGGAAGAAAAAAATCATGAGAAATCCAACTACTCCATTTCAAAGAGGTATCATCAGGACCTTAGTTGTGATAATCGATGGTTCACTGGTTATGCTGGAGAAAGATTTACGGCCTACGAGATTTTCGATGATGTTATCGTTATTACAGGAATTTGTCGTAGAATACTTTGATCAGAATCCTATATCTCAATTAGGTATAATCATGATGCGTAACGGGGTAGCGAACCTAATAAGTGAGGTAAACGGTCTGCCACAATACCATTTGGATAAGATAAGACAATTAAAAAGTCGACAGCATAATAAATATGAGCCAAAGGGTGATCCTTCTTTGCAAAATGCATTGGAGATGGCAAGGTCTTTATTGATGTACAATTTTGGTACTAATTTAAATGACACTAAAAATTCTAAGGAAATTTTAATAATATTTGGAGCATTATTTACAAGTGATCCTGGTGATATTCATAAAACAATTAATAGCTTGGTAAAAGATGAAATCAAAGTCAAAATCATCGGGTTATCGGCTCAGGTAGCTATCTGTCAAGAATTGGTTAATAAAACAAATAACCCAAGTAAATCGAATACTTTTTGGTCTGCAGGCGGTAATAATTATGGTGTGATTATGAATGAAATTCACTTCAGAGAGCTATTAATGGATTGTGTGATTCCTCTTCCTGTTACTACGAATACGCTGATAGACCAAAACAATTCAAAAGAAGTACCGATAATTAAAATGGGCTTTCCCCTGAAAATTCAACCTGTTATCACATCCTCCACTTCGAACTTATCTGTCGATTTCCCCCAATTATGTGCATGTCACCCAACTCAAGATTCCGTTGAGACAAAAAATAATGATCCAACAGCAACTCTTGGAACCAGAAGTGTAATTGGTTATGAATGTCCTCAGTGTAACAATAAGGTTTGCCATTTGCCTACGATTTGTCCAATATGTGGCCTTATGCTAATTCTTTCTACACATTTGGCAAGATCATACCATCATTTGGTACCATTAGGAGATTACAAAGAAGTTCCAGTCAGTGAGTCATATAGTAGTACGTATTGTTACGGCTGTCTACTTAAATTCCCTAGTGGAATTAAAAATACCGATGCGAATGAAGATGGTAAAACTAAAATGGATTCCCTTACAAGTTCTAGATACCGTTGTGGAAAATGTCAAAATGATTTCTGCATTGATTGTGATGTTTTTGTTCATGAGAGTTTACATAACTGTCCTGGTTGCGAGAATAAATAGAATAATAAACACGGTAAATATTATGCTTTTGTAGTCATTAGACGACCTTGTAATACGAAATAATACGAAATTATACATTCAAGATAAGAAGACTGCACTAAAATATACAAGAGAAAAGGTAAACGTTACTTATTTTCCACCCCAGGCAGAGCCATTGCCCCAAGAACTTTTTCCGCCTTTATTAGAATTACCCCAGGTAGAATTTCCTCCCCAGGTGGAAGAACCTCCATTCTTTGAATTGCTACCCCAACTAGAAGCATTACCGTTATTATTACCCCATGCTGAAGCACCTCCGGCGTTACCGCCCCATGTGGAAGCATTTCCTGAGTTATATGCTGGTGTTTTACCTCCTCCCCAAGACGATTGTGCACCACCACTACCCCAAGCAGTTGCACCACCACCAACTGAAGGAGTTACACCACCACTACCCCAGGAAGACTTACCACCGGATGAAAATGCAGGAGCTTTAGCAGGTTGATTGAACGAAGCACCACCAAAACTACCTGAAGGATTCGAATTACCAGGACCAGATGAAGCACCAATAAATCTTAAGTATGGGACTGCCTCACCACGGACCATAACACTCAACAGGTTTTTGTTTACCTTAATCTTCTTGGATTTGGTATGTAATTCTATTCTAGCGTAAACTTCATCAGCTTCAGTAACTTTACCCATTAAACCTTTATAGTTTCCGCTGTTGACAAGAACATCCTTATATATTAATTTATCACGACCACCGACACGAGTCTTTAAACCCGCATTAGCAATTGGGTTGGGTAATTTTAAGTTTGGATTCATACGGTTTAAGTCTGGGCCTAAACTCTTAGATACAATCGAGTCTTTCGTTGTAATTGTACTAACGTTCATACAGTTAGTTACGAATATACCCAAATTTTCCAAAATTTCATTCAGCTTTATGAATAATGAATTTTTGTAAATATGTAAAATTGCTCCTTCTCTCTTCTTATCACCTAAAACTTCTTTGACCGTATCCCCAATTTTAACAGTAGAACCATTTCTATCCGTTGCAATCTGTTCACGACGACTTAATTCCAACTTTGATGCAATACCGGCTGGATTTACAGACATCAATCTTCCCTCAGATGTAAGAACTTCAAATGAACTCTTTTCAGCCTTAACAATGACCCCAACGGTTGAGACATTAAGCTGTACCAAATCCTTTAACTCGTATTTTCCACCTGTAACGTCGGTATTCAGCGAAGCATCAGTTGCTTTAATTAAGTAGTTAGCGAAAACTCTGACATCCTGCTTCGTTTGGTCACTTAAAAGAATCACCGAATCATTGTCAATTTTAATAACCAAGCCTGTCTCATCAGAATGTTTACCTTCGATAACTCTGACATGATCACCCGCACTGAAAAGTTTTCTTAAATCATTGGCAGGAACAGTCAATCTTTGGTTCACAAACTTAGGATCACCACTATCTGTGACTAAAATCGTAATTTCATTTAACGAAGTACTTAAAACTTTACCAATTGTTTTCGCTTGTTCGCCACGGCGAATTTCAACCTTATCACCAGGTTGGAAAGCACTAGAACGTCCTGCGCCTTCCGAATTATTTTTATTTTTCAAGGATGCAGCAATGGCAGCGAGGTCTAAACCATCTTCCTCTGGATCACCTGTTTGGAAACGATCCAACTCTTCCAATTTCGGATGAACGTCTTTAGTTTGAATGAATTGTAATTTAAAGTCCTTGAAGAGAAAACCTTCGTTGTATTCTTCCCCACGGTAAATGAATGCACGGGGACCCCTGCCACTTTGCAAATACTCACCATCATACATTCTGGCTTCTTGTTCGCTAAAAAGACGGGGGATAGGCTTAGTTTTCAGTCTGATTCTTTTGCCGTCTTTATCGAAGTCGTCATTCTTACCATAGTCTAAACGAGGTACCAACTTACAACGAACGTCCAAACCATTTTCTGATAAATTATCTACGATAGCAAGGTCATTTTTATATTTACCACGGGTAATTCTCACATAAATACCCGGAACAATTTCAACATCAGAAGACTTCACTTGCTTAAGCAAATCTGGATATTCACGGACAGGAACCAATAACCTTTGTTTAGCATATATGTTCACCATACCCGTTAAGGCTCTCTCGATGGCCTCTGGTTTCTTAGCTTCGATATATATATAACCCTTGAACGAATCTCTTTGGAATACAGTCAAGATCTCCAATGGGTTCAGTCTTGCCAAAGTCCTCTTCTTTTCGTACAATTTACGAACCAAGTCCTTTTCACGACCCGGGGTACATCTAATAGCGTAAATGGCTGGATCGTTAATAGAAGGCATCAATAACTTCTGCGATACGGTACCACTGGCAGTGGTGTCACCCCTGTACACAGTATGGGTCTTACGATAACGTTGTTTCAAGGTCTCCGCTAAAACTTCTGCGTCTTGATCCTCTGCTTCTTGACGACGACGGTCAAATTGTCTGTGAAGCCTATCGTCCTGGTGTTCTCCAGCACTGTCCTTACCATCCATGGTCTCAACACGGCTATCATCTGCAATAAATTGCTCTCTCAACAATTCTGCTTCTTCATCGTCTTCGTCCATCTCATCTTCTTCTTCGTCATCCACTTCGGCTTCAATATCAATAAACTGATTAGCCCCTCTTCTTCTCTTTCTCTTCTTAGAACTTACTTCTTCTTCATCTTCGTCTTCATCTTCATCCTCGTCGTCCTCATCGTCCTCATCCTCATTTTCGTCGTCATTTGCCTCATCACCATTATCTTGCTGTTCCGCACCTTCACCGTTATTATTAATTAATGCTTGATCATTTTCGGTAGACACCTTACTTTCACCTTCATCATTATCTTCCAACGGACGCTTAGAACCTATAGAATATTCTTCCTGAGCGCTTCTCTTATTTTCTTCCGTCTCTTCTTCTTCTTCATCGATTTCATTCTGATCTATATCTTGAACTTCATATGCTCCTCCAGCGGTGGAATTATCCGGATCTTCATGTTTCATCACATCATCAGAGGATGTTGTGATTCTGTTTTCCTCTTCAGACATTATTATAATCTCTTTTAATGATTGATTTGCTGATAATGAACACTATATTTCCTCTAGTTGTGTTGTATTAAAAATTAATTCAACAATCATATAATCGGTAAAGTGACACAAAAACGCAAAACTGGCCAAAAAAGTTGTTGCAGGTTTCCTGTTAATGTTAATAGTGGGTTTTGGACCGGTTATGGGTATATGAGAGAAGATGAAAGAGAGTCATGATGAGGAGATACAAGGAGAGGGTGGTGAAGAAAAAAAAGCCGTATGAATGGGGGATTGGACGAAATGTGAGAATTGCACCCATATCGTAGAGAGGATTGAGTATTGTCGTATTGTAGTAGCTTTGGATTGCAATGGATTTGAGAACATTCGTAGGAAATGAAGAAGTAATAAAATACTTATTGGGGAGGGAATATTAGTTAGGGAACGGAATATTTATTAGGGGTATAAGCTTGTATTCAATGATTTGAAAGTTCAGGTGAGAAAAGACTAATCGATGGACCGAAAAGTAGACGCAACTACTGACCACTGGAAAGCAGCAACATATATACTGTGAATGGAAAGCAGTAGCATACTATACTGTGAATGTTGTTGTCTTCTTCAATGGAGTGGACCGGACGAAAGCACGAGGTAAACAGGTTTCGTCTTTACCAAGCTCTCCGATGACCGACCGTGATACATAGACCCGAAAGTTGCACAGGTTCAAGTGGCACGAAACCAGTATCAGGCTTTTTCCCGCTCAGTCGAAGAGTCATAGAGTTGAAATCAGAGCCATAGTCATAGAGTCGTAGTCGTAGTCATAGTCGTAAAGTTATAGTCGTAGTCATACTCATATTCATACAATCTCCTACTTGAACAGTCCGCTATGCAATACAGTCGCTACATGGTTTGAATTACCATGCTCACTACCTTAAAACCATCGCCGATCCTTCGGCATCTCGTTCTCTAAGCCTCAATATGCCCGTATTACCAATAATGCCTGCTCAGCACGTCAAAATTGCCTTATCTATGTAAAAATCATACTGCGCACGATGCCGATGGCCGATGCCTACGAGGATTTTTTTTAGTTGATAATACTATAAACTCTTAAACAAACATCATCTAGTATACAAATGTCACAAGTTGAAATCAGCGAACTCGCCAAAGAGATTAGAGCTTCATTAAAGCAATTTCCAAATTTCCCAAGTGAAGGTATTTTATTCGAAGACTTTTTGCCAGTTTTCACCAAACCGGACTTATTCCAAAAATTGGTCAGGGCATTCCAATTGCACGTTGGTGAGCAAAAAGTGGATTATGTTGTCGGTTTAGAAAGTAGAGGGTTCCTTTTCGGACCTACTTTGGCTTTGGCTTTGGGGGCTGGGTTTGTTCCAGTCAGAAAACCAGGTAAATTACCAGGCCCAGTATTCACGGCCGAATTCCAAAAGGAATACGGTAGTGACAAATTCCAAATCCAAAAAGATGTGATCGAAAAGGGTGCCAAGGTTTTGATTGTCGATGATATTTTGGCTACCGGTGGTAGTGCCTCAAGTGCCGGTGAATTGGTCAAGCAGTCAGGTGGTGACATCGTTGAATACTTGTTTGTCATGGAATTAGACTTCTTAAAGGGCAGAGATAAGTTAGGCAAGCCTGCATTCACCTTGTTGAGTGGACAGGCTGAAAAGTTGCAGAATTAAACGGGCTCTTGGTGCTCGTCTCAGTTGTGCGGTTTTGCTGAATGTAGAGTTAGACATCCCATGAATATACTTTATTAATAATATATATATATGAAGAGTAGGTATATACCCGACTATTCTAGAAAGACCCACGTCGTACAAATGCTGTATCCACACATATATTGTCGTCTGTATCGACAAAAATCATCCACTCTTGAAGATTAAAAAAGCTAGTTGGCCAATGTAGAAATATGTGAAAAACCCTTGCTCATGCGTCACATAAGACCCAAAACTCTTACCAACGATTACATGCCATGTGGCTCCGTATAACTGATCTAATTCTTTCTTCAAATATGTGGCTATATCTTTTTCAATTTTGTAATTTGAAACTGCCTCATTGGATAACTCGAAGATCCTAGTTTGCATCTCCTCTGGCAAATCTGATGCCTTTAAAATCGCTGTTTTTGTTAGTTAATTTCTCCCGCATCACCGTCTTCCTATACATACGTTCTTGTTCTTTCTCTGACATCTTGATAATGTTCGATGAAGTCAATATTTACAAAATCTGGTGATTGTTTATCAGCTTTTACTATCGCATTTTGTGTACATACACATAAGCAGACCCATAGTACTGAAATATTTAGTATCCGATGCCCAAACGGTCGTATGGAGGTCAATGGCACGTTAAGACCTACATAATTATATACCCCAGTAGTTATCTTACATAATTATCGTTTTACACCATATAAAATGGGGTGCAGGTGGCTTGTGAAAGGTACGATGGGCATCTTGACTTAGTTTTGAATTCAGTTAGCTTTTTTTCAGTATGATATTTCGTTTTCTGGAATCCTCTGTAAGCAACGGCAATGGTGAAACGTTGCATACACTATGGACCAATGCACATGCTATGAAATGCTTAACTCCTGCAATAGCAAGAGTTCGGAATAGAACCATCTTCGAGACTCCAACCCCCTCCGATTAGTCAGCACCAGTGTCAAACGTATATAAGGGACACTGATGTTTGGATTAGACGAGTAATGGCACAGGGATATCAATAGGAAACGGTTATCGGATCATATAAATAGTAATCGATCAAAAATGTCAAAATACGGATTCGTGAAAATTGCTCGGGACATAAAGACAGCAGTTGGCAAGATCAACGAGCCTACGGCCCAGTCAGTGGTACAATTGCCTGACAGCCCATTGGGAAAGTTCATGTTGGACTACGCCACCAAGGAACTACCAGAGAAGGTGTTATTGCATTCGTTAAGAGTGTACCAATACAGTATCGCCATTATCAACGATCATTTCGATAAATGGGCCTTGGATCGGGAGGTTTTGTTTGTTACGTGCTTGCTTCACGATATTGGGACCACCGAGAAGAACATGAAGGCCACCAAGATGTCGTTTGAATTCTACGGCGGAATGATAACGAGGGACCTTATCTTGGAGCATACCAATGGTGATCAAGACTATGCGGAAGCTGTGGCCGAGGCCGTAATTCGTCACCAGGATTTGGGTGACACTGGCTTTATCACAACTTTGGGCTTGATATTGCAAATTTCAACCATTTTGGATAACGTTGGTTTGAACACGGATCTTATCCATCCTGACACTCTTGCTGCTGTTAACAAAGAATATCCAAGACATGGTTGGTTGAACTGTTTTGCGGACCATGTTGACAACGAAAATTCCAAAAAACCTTGGGGACACACCAGCTCCTTGGGAGTTCCCGACTTTAGGAACAATATCTTAGCCAATAAGGTCAAATATGAGAAGTTATGATTAATATACGTACACTAGTAGTCTTAGTATTGTAGGTCCTTAATAGTAGTATTTCTTATATACACACCAAGTCGATATCGATATCAGCTGGGTTTAGTTCAGAGTTTTTCAACTACTAGGTTCATCTATATGGTAAAGCAATAAGAAGCATAGATAACTCCGAAGATGCCTGAGGCAATAGATGCTTCTAGTATAGCTACCAATTATTATAAATTGGCTCATCTTTGCTCGGTAACTTATTTAATTTACACTACAAATGGTGCTACGAACGATCTGACTTTGCTTGAATTGGAGCTTTTAATAAGACACTCCCACCCTAAATGCCTAATAACATACTACAATAAGTATTTGTACTGTTTTCAATTCAATCATGTTGATGAACATGTTGATTTGACAAAGGAATATACACAGCTACAATTGAAATATTCCAACCTGGTAAGCGCTGATTTGCTAGCGAACCCTCCGAAAGTGGCCAGTGAAAAAGATAATAATAGTACCGGGAACGAGTATTTGGCCTACGCATGCTTGAGTTTCTTGAAGGCGGTTAAGAAGTTGGTGTTGTTTAATTTGTCAAGGAATGAAGCAGTGCAGCTCTTCGGAAACTATGCCGTAGTGAAGGAGCAAGGGCTCTCCAATTTTATTCTCCATATTGATCCAATATTATTACCAAACGGAGATTTATTGATTTCTATATCTGAAAAGTGTCATCTTCAACTTTTTGACTCTAGCATAGTGGATATCAGTGAAATAGAATCCGCTGATTTAAACTTTGTTCTATACATAATCCCATCTGGAATAAGATGTCATTTATACGATAACGGAAATGTTGCATCGAACTTCACCACAGAACCCCCTAAGAACAGCGAGGTGCTAATACAATTGATTAAATACAGCACGGGTGTCGATCTAAACCAATTGAACCCTTTGGTTTGGGTGAAGTTGGTTCCTAATTTACAGCACTTAAATAATCAAACTTCAAAGATTTCTAAATTCATCCATCCGGTGGATAACAAGAAGTTCATACTATGGCCTTGGAGACTCTGCTTACTACAATTTGGTCTTAATGAAATGGACACTGCAACTTCTCCCCAAGCTATTACTTGCGATCCAATAAACTTGATTTCTGATTTCATTGACTTTAATATCAGCCATCACCAACAAGCAAACATTAATGGTCAGTTAAACCCAAATCATCAACACAACCAAAGTTTTAATTACAGTATTCCAAGTGCGTTGTCAACAGGAATGAGTTCTACTGGTGCAAATGAAAATAAGGGTGACTTAAATATGGTTGGCGACATACCCGGAAGCGTACTGGATATATTTGGTATCCAAAGCTCTGATACCAATGATTTTTTTAACGGCCCCAATTTTCAACCGTCCCAAAATCCAAATGATGTAAAATTGGATTCGCAGGAACCAGTAAAGAACAGTGACGATGAAGATGTGGAAATGGATGACTTATTTGGTGATGCGAGTGAAGATGAAAAGGCCAAAACAGAAGTTTCGACAAATGAAATGAATGAGGAAAAGAACTTCGAAGACTTATTTAATGATGACCTCAATCAGGAAAAACAAGTCGATGACCTGGACACAATAGCCAAATCAATAGACGAGGATGTTTTAAAAGAAGAAAGTGTCAAACTGGAAGATTTAAAAGAAGACAAGGACTTAAAAATGCAGCCGTCTTCGGGGACAATACCAAATACATTTATAGACATTCCTAAAGATCAGATGACGATCCCATCGTTAAAGAATTTAAAACAGACTCCTCAAATTTATAATGATCCCGGTGCTCCAATGCCAGTAATACCAACACCTATATTTCCCCAATACGGAATTAATTCTACAGCACCAGGGTCTGCTCAGTCGGTAAACCCACCAACTTCCGCCGCTGCCACGGACAATGAGGCAAATGAAGGAGCAAGATCAATATTCTCTCCAATATTATTCAATCCAATAATTAAAAGTAATATTGATACGAAATACGGTAAAGGCGGTAAATTTTATGTTGACAAGGAAGTATCGGCTGGTCCCGATATCGATTCGAAAAGAAAGACTTTAAGAGCTACAAGTGTAAGTGGATTTGAATTACCACTACGCAAAGAAGATTCTATTGGGATTGAGACTATTATAGACGATAATGATCGAAGACAGATTTTCGAGTTTCCTGAAGAACAGGGTAATGAAAGAATGAAAGATGAAGGCCACGAAAATCATGTCAATGAAAACGATAATACAATCAAGAAGATGGAAGAACTTGAAGAGGAAGATGACGATGGTGATGATGATGAGGATGATGAAAATGAGGACGAGGATGAAGAAAGTGATGAGGATGATGATATCAACTTGGAGAATAATGATATGAATATGAAACGTTCTCCACCTTTGAAATTAAACATACTTAATGACCCGTATATCGCTCAGCTGAATCAGGCGGGTGTTAATTTCAATGATTCAAACTACAATGCTAAGCCAATACTTCCTAACTCTTATAATGCAAGCTCCATGAATACAGGTGGATTTTCTTCACCGGTATCACTTGGACTCAGTTCTTCGAGAACTAATGTGCCCCCCAAAAACGATTCACCATTCGGGTTGAACAATCTTGCAAGGGAAGATCGGAATGGAACTACATCTCCTACAGGTGACAACAGTGATCAATTAAGTAAAAGACAAGAACAATCAGACAACTCGCCAATGGTTGTTGATATAGTGGTCGAAAAGAAATCGGCTAGCAAAGAAGCAGAAAATACACCAAGCGGAGTGACAACCCCAAATTCTAGAGGATCGATATCAGAGTCGTCTAATTGTTTACCATTAATTTTACGAGGTATCAATGTTGCAAGTATTCCTAGTTCCTTTATTTTGAACAACATTATTGTTTCCAATAAGATCTCAACAATTTCTACAAATTTTGATATGGATGTGGACGATGAAACTGAGTGGTCTGACTATGAATTATGCAAGAATAATGAAATGTCGGTGAAATTAAATAATTTGGACGAATTCTTGAAGTGGTTAGGGCCAAATTTAATATTTGATATGGGGTTGAACAAGTTACAAAAGTCTTTAGAGATGAAGTTATCCAATAATGAAAGAGACGATGAAGAGTATGATAATATCGAGGGTAAGGCGCCATCCAGGCAATTTGAAAATAAACTTTGTGATATATTTCCCTTTTGTTATAAGGTTAATCTTAACGAATTCACTACAGAAGCTAATGTTGACGAACTGAAGGGAGAAGCTACTACTATACAAGACGAACTCGATAATCAGCTAAGTTTTCTTGATGATATTACAAATGAAGACATTCTTAATCCTAGGACACAATTAAAGAAACTAAATTCAATTGAATGGGATGCAATTTATTCCGATAGTCCTAATAATGAAGATAATTCTAAAAAATATCAAGAAATGGTTCACAATGTGGGTCAAAGTTCATTGGTGAATACACTTGAAGACGGCACTATATTCCCGTTAGCTAATGATAAGGCAAGAGTTTTGAAGCATAATGATACGATAATAAATTTGAACTCAATTGGTATTAAGTTCTGGAAGTATTTAAACTTCAGTCCTTTGAATGGCCCTAAGAATTTTCAATTATTGTTGATCTCCGAACACGATCATAATATGCTTCATCATAATTATAATATCGAATTCTTAAATTCATTAGTTTATAACTATAAGGAATGCTGCTTTGGTAATATATCCAAGATTAATTTACAACCATCAGATTCTAGACCAGATATGGAAGGTATTGATAATGGTTTGTTATTGGTTCATAAGAAGGATGAAGACCAGATTTATGGAAACATCTATAAACAAATTAACCGTAAATTAAATGCACTAGTCGAAATGATTAAGTCTGATTTGATTAACAAGACAAATAAATTTGAGTTCGATAGACCGTTGTTATTACTTTTCATTAATTTTGACGAAAGTGTTAACTCATTATTACAAATCTCAAAGTTAATTAGAAACTTCAAATTGTTTTTAAGCCATCATCAACTACCTCTAGTAGAGGTATTTGCCCATATAATTCCTTGGTCACTTATTATTAAGCAAAGTGGAAGTCAAAGAAGATTAAAATATTTATCAAACTTCAGATTGTCTAAATTGTCAATGAACTTATACAACCAATGTCCGAATGAACGAACGATTGGGAAACCAGTCAAAGACCCAACCAAACATTTATTCACGCAATTAGTCAAGGAGCCACCTTCAAATCTTAATTTTAAGTTCATGAACAATGGAAGCAATGGCAATGGAAAAACCACGTTTAATGATGATATTTTCCTCCATTTGGCATATGAAAGATCCATCGATAAGAATTGGTTTTCAGCTGCTTGGTCAGATCCACTAGGAATCGTTGTATCAACCAAATCGTGGCATTGCTCTCCAAACCTTCAGAAAACAAACAACAAAAACGTTCATAGTCTAGAGTCAATAAGTGACGAGATCTGGAATATATCCACCGCCTTATTCAAAAAGCTAAATGATGAGATCATCAGGAGGACTTCTGGTTTGGGCGGAAAGAAATTTTTAGTATTAACAAGGATAAATAGCATCATTCCCGATGATGAGTTGATTCACTGGAAAAGACTAAGCATGAAGCACAAAGACGTATCTTTGATTGTCTTATCCGTCAATAAGTCACCCAAATTATTGTTTAGTGGTCCAATCGGCCCAGACCAGCAGGAGGATAAGTCGAATTATGATGCAAACACCAATAACACATCAACTAATATGGACAATAATTCAAGCACAAACGCCGCTAATCCAGCAGGTGGTGTTGGTGCCACATCAAATGCACCCGATTTTTTCAAGACTTTTGGCTCCAACAACCCATCGCCAAACAATAACGGAGGCTCTATGTCCATTTCACCCTCGAATAACCTGGGAATCAATTTCCATTCGCCCCAGCAGTTTCTCAATGCACCAGGGAACTTCCTATTGCCGCAAGATTTTGTTTCTTCCACCGGAGGAACCACCAACACTAACGCCAATCCTGTTTCGAACGCATCCCACGATAATCCTGACGAGATCATTCACGACCCCGCAGAAGAACTAACTGCGGTGATCCCTAAGGCCCCATTACCGTCATTTAACTCTCCTACTCGCTTGGGAATGAAGATAGGCTACTTGATCAAGGATACCAGAGTTTCCACCGACGAAGATACGAAACAGTATTTAGTCTACGAGGTAAATTTACTAAGCTGTTCAAATTACTGGAACCTAAACGCAATTATGAAGATATTGTTGAACCAGTACAAGAAGATGATCACCTTGAATGATATTCTTTGTGTTGGTGAAATCGATGGTAGCATTACGGAAGATAGAGCCGAAAACGATCCTAATCTGACTCCCGAAATGACTCCACCGTTGAACTACACTGCATCCGGTCTAATACCATGGCATATTGCAGCTGTGACGAAATCATTGGACTATTTAATCCATATTGATGTTGAAGAGTAAACTCCATAGTCTGCACACAAAATATACAATTTTTTTTTCAGTCTCACTATACGCGTAGAATGTTTTGTTTACAAATACAAGAAATAGATAAATACAAAAGCGACTTTAGCCATATAGTCTAGCAGTTAATAGAGTAAAAACAGACTAGTATGGAGGGTCTTGAATTGGACTCGACGCATGAACTATTAAATAGATATAAAGTAAAGGAGGGAAGAAATGAGGATATTACAATATACTCGGATGAAGATTCGATTTTCAATTCACCAAGCATTGAATTAGGCAGATCAGCTGTGAAAAATACAAAGAATTCATCACCGTTTAAGAAATTTGGAATGGGTAGAAGCTCTAGTTTATCACCCAGTAAAAAGGTACGAAACGATTACCAGGATCATTTGCACAGGATGAGAGGAAATAGTAATACAGGTAGTCCATTGAAACGGAACAATTACGATTTAAGCGAAAATAATGATTTTGATGATATAAAAGGGATGTCGGAGTTGAATATTGACAGTCTTAGTGGGTCAGATAACACTATGGATAGAGAAATACAAAGAATATTGGATATGTCGTCGCTCAAGCTCCCGGAGTTGCAAGGTGATCACGGGAAGGATAGGACAGAATTGCTTATCAAGGAGACACATAAGCTCATAAACACGGTACCAGCATCGATAACAAGTAGTAAGGAAGGCGAAGCGTATCAGAAAATGCTCACGACTTCCTTAAATAAGTTAATCAAGCAGGTTGAAAGCATGAAAAGAGACCTTGAAAATAGGGATAACGAAGCCAAAAACCACCGAACTCAACTTTCGAATCTAGAGATGAAAGTGGGACTCTACCAGAGAGAAAATAGCGACTTGAAGAAGGAGCTTAGCCAGGTTAAGAAAAGATCTGTTACACCTCAAAACGACTCACGCGAGAACGACCTTTTAAGAACCAAGCTTATAAAATACAGGAATTTATACACCGAGGCTGATAGAGAGAATCAGGAGTTGAAGTCGAAGCATAGCGGAGAGCCGATGAAATCTGAACATGCGAGCCAACAAACCCCGGTGCGGGAACAACCGAGACCTACGAATCAAGCAAATGTGGCCGAAATACCTTCAGAAATAGAAATCCCGATAGCCAGGAAGTCATTACTGCAGGACGCATATAAACAACGGCTTGTAGAACTACAGAATCAACTTTCAGATATCATCGATGATGTGAAAGACGAACCACCAAAGCCAGAGGTACAGCCGGTGCTGGAACCAAAGCACCAACCCCACCAGACATCTGAGTCCAGCGAGATGCCAGATGCACATTCGCAGCCAAGTTTGCGTATGCTTGCCATATTTGAAGACCTAGTCCGGGCGATGAAGAACGAATCAGACGAGAGCAAGTACGTAGAAAAGCCTATGGAAACACAACCCGTACCAAACGAAACGAGCGCAAACGAGTCGGTAGAAAAAGAACTGGTGGAAAACCAACGTAACCCAATTGACCCTGTTTTGGAGAAAATATTGACCTCGCTTGACAAAAACAACCAGATGTACAACAAACTACTCGATGTACTCAATCCAGACGCCAATGGGCAACACGTACGCATTAGCGAGCCATCGACGGCTCCGGCGTTGGACGAGGTCCACTATTCAGACCACAAGGAACGCGAAAAGGAATTTGTGTTCCAATGTTATGTCTGCTGTCCGCAGAATCATAAACTCCACGCCAAAAGACCGTGCAAGAGATGTTCGGCGGCGTCGTCGGAAGCATCAGGGTCTGCTGGCAACTCTGTGACCCATTCTGCTGGCAATTCAGCGTCTGACACCACGTCCGACACCCATGTCCGTGATGGTGGACCGCCAAACCGCATGGCCGACTTTTCTGACCCCAAAGACAACAAAACCATAAACCTCATGGGCGAATACAAGTGGACCATATAATCCCTGTGTATATTACCGTGGCATGCAAGCGTATAGTATAATCGACGTATCTAATTCTGAGCTTGTAGTTCTCCTTTGAGCCAATCTGACTGTCCAGCCAATCTCACAGTCCAGCCATTCTCTCCTTCCAGCATCTCCTTCTAACAAGAGGCTCTAAAACTCACCTTCATCTAGGCCCGCACATCCAATTGCCTAGCTTGAAAACCCATTCTCACCCACCTAGTATAACATAATTCCACTACAACCTATATAGTATATTGAAAGCTGCATATACAATTGACTTCTACATCTACTTAGTCTGAGATCCTAACACTACTCTCTCTACCCTAGACCACCTAGAACGTGAACAGACCCACTACCACCTTCGGTCTGTCCACCTAGAACCCTCAGTACCACCTACTTCGCCTACGCTCATCTAATTGCAAAATTCTAGGGCTCCGCGTACCTCTCCGTGTACCTCCCGTAATTCTGCCCCAATCCCTCCAATTTTACACCAATATCTCCGTCTCCCACACATCTCCTGGCCCGGTCACATTTCCTGCAACATGGGCTTATTGTGAACATGTTCTATTGATCTCTTGCTACCTTGATCTAGTGAATGTTTACATATAAGCCCAAATAGTAAGGCAATTATTTTTGTGTCACATTGTTCTTTATTTACGCGGTTCCTAATTTGAGTTGAATTCATCACAGGTTTTTTCCAAACACAAGAGATGTTGAAACAGGTATTATATCGCCAATAAACTAATATAATCAGAGAAAAGTTGTTTATAATATTGCTAGTGTATTTCTAAACCAGTTATTTAATTTAAATCACGAAAAACAAACCAGATTTTGTCTATATAGACAAGTTGCATTCATCACAAATAGTATTGGGAGAATTATAGGTTAAGGTTGATTTAACCCCGAAAAAGTCAGAAAAAGAGGCATTAGACAGTAGAATGCCACAAACCGTTAATAATGAGAATGAATACAGGTTAACCAGGTCGAAAGCAATGCAGAACCAGGGCTTGCGAGGGAACGAAGGGGGGCCCAAGACACACGCACAAACACAGATGGAGGCACAGAGCCAGAAAGGAGGACGAGGAGAGCCGGTAATGGGAGATGGAAACGGAGACACGAAAGACGGGTTGTACAGTTTGTCACAGCACTCGTCGGAGGAGGTGTTGGCGGGCACACGAAGCTACTTGGGAGACGTCTCGAACCAATACGGGTCGAGTGGTGTCAAGCCCAATATGGGGTCGAAAAGACGGCCGCTTGGGGGAGATAATGCTCCATTGCAGCAGCAGCAGCGGATTATGTTGAAGCCAAACAACTCGAGCGCGAACACTAATCATTTACTTGCATCACAACCGAAAGACACCGTCACGACGACTACCGCGACTATTCATGACAGCACTAACGGCAATATCACTACTAATAATCATACATCTGCATCGTCGTCGAACTCGTCGACCCAGAGCCTCGCGGTGCCCGCCAGGATGCCGCAGAAGAGACAGGCGACCGAGTCGTCCACCAATTTGGTGGAAAAATTGCACATCTCGGGTCCCCACAGCAACAATGTCTCGTACAAGAAGTCGAGAATTATCGACTACGAATGGCAGGACTTGGACGAGGAAGACATTGACGACCCCTTAATGGTAAGTGAGTATGTCAATGATATCTTCCCGTACCTCAGCGAGTTGGAACACAAAACATTACCTGACTCGCAATATTTGTTTAAACAAAAGCATTTGAAACCCAAAATGAGATCCATCCTCGTCGATTGGCTTGTTGAAATGCACACCAGATTCCGCTTGTTGCCCGAAACCTTATTCTTGGCTATCAATATCATGGACCGATTCATGTCGCTCGAAATCGTCCAGATCGACAAATTACAACTCTTGGCCACAGGATCTTTATTTATCGCTGCTAAATACGAGGAGGTGTTTTCTCCCTCCGTTAAAAACTATGCATATTTTACCGATGGTTCATACACTGAAGATGAAATCTTACAGGCCGAAAAGTATATCTTAACCATCTTGAACTTCGACCTCAACTACCCTAACCCCATGAACTTTTTGAGAAGAATCTCGAAAGCCGACGACTACGATGTCCAATCAAGAACATTAGGTAAATACTTACTAGAAATCACAATAATTGACTACAAATTTATTGGCATGTTACCCTCGTTATGTTCGGCTTCGGCCATGTACATCGCGCGGTTGATTTTGGGTAAGTCCCCCGTATGGAACGGGAACTTGATTCATTATTCGGGTGGCTATAGAGTCAGTGACATGAAGGACTGCATCGAATTACTCGTCCAATACCTCATTGCCCCGGTCGAACACGATGAATTTTTCAAAAAATACGCCACCAGAAAATTCATGAAAGCCAGTATATTATGTCGAAGCTGGGCTAAAAAAATCGTGTCTGAGAATAAGGATATATTTGCTAATGATTTATTTATTAATAAGGCTGATAATTAAAGAGTGAACTACTATTTTTACCCTCAGGATCTACTAATAAAAATATCATAATTATTTCACATTTGCACATTAGATTGGTTTTCGCTATTTGTTGATACTACCTATTTTTTTTCCGGGAGTTTCTCCTACATTACGTTGTTTATTTCTTGTCTCTTATATCATTATTCATTTGCAATCATTAATTATTATATATTGTTTAGAATATATAAGTTAATATAACCGTACACTTAACCATTTTTCGAGTAGCGCGTTGTTTTTGAAAAGATCAACAGAAATAAACCTCTATTATAAGGTAAAATTTTTAACACAAACCATTGAAAAATATAGTTGAAAAATGTTTCAAGGGTCAACATTCTTGGTGGTCGTTTCAGACGCATTCACTGACCAAGAAGTGAATGATGTTGAGTCGATGCTTAAACAAAATAATGCTAAAGTTTTCATAAAAGAAGAACACGATAATGACGTTAATTACTTGGGGACAGAGGCCGTGTCGAACACGCCTATAGATCATATAATATGTAAATCTGTTGAATTTATTGAATACAATTTGGCCCAGACTTCCATGATTCCTATAACGACCCCCGAATGGGTATTTGACTCGGTAAGTCGAGCAAAGATTTCCAATCCTAAGGTGTATAGTCCCGATCCCAAGTTTTTTTTAAAGGACACATTTGTGTGTGTTGCTGATAATTTACCGGTGGGAGATAAGGAGGCTATTTACGGGGGAGTGAGAGCATTTGGTGGCCAATATTTGGATGATTTGACGAGATATACTACGCATTTGATTGCAATGGATATGAATAACGACAAGAGTGTGATTGCAACGAGTGCAATCAACACTACCCAAGAAAATGGCGACAAAATAGATATAAAGATAGTTTTGCCCCATTGGATAGATGATTGCTTGAAAATGGGGAAAAAATTAGATGAAGAGCCTTACATGTTGCCGTCACCTTCTATATTGAAGGCTACACTGGGAGCTATCGATTCGCCTGTAATAACAGAGGATGATATTTTACCTATTGATTCAAGTAAGTCGAGCTTTTTGGACAATAAGCTTTTCTATATTAGCCCAGACTATAAAATATCCGACCGGTTAACCAGTGCCATAGGCGCCCTAATCAAGAAGCACGGTGGTAAAGTAACCACGCAATTCAACTCTAAAACGGTTGATATCTACATTGGCCAGTATCGCGCAGGAGATGCTTACATTACGAGTTGCAAGTCAAATCGTATAATAGTTGGTAATTTGCAATGGCTCTACTCAATAATAGTATCAAACAGATGGAAGCTACCAATAAATTCGAACTTACTTCATTATCCAATCCCCCCAACTTCATTACCTGACTTTCAAAATTTGAAGATTTCGGTTACTAACTATAGTGGCGATGCAAGATTTTATTTATCGAAGTTGATCACCATATTGGGTGGCACATTTACCAAAACATTGACTCGTGATAATGATTTCTTAGTTGCTGCAAAACCAGAAGGTAAAAAATATGAAGCAGCTAAAGTGAAATGGATATCAGAAGGTAACAACAACATTAAGGTCGTTAATCACCTATGGTTAGAAGAATGTTTTGCTAATTGGAAATTATTGGAATATGATAGACCACAGTATCAATTTTTAGGAAATAATGCAAACGGGGTAGAGAAGTTACTTTGCAAAACCAAGCTAAAGCAGAATGTACTCGAGAATTGGTATAACCAAGAGAACCTTGCTAGCGAAAAAGAAAACGTAGCCGATAGTATGAGTGAAGATGAATCAACACAACCAAAGAATCACCTAAAATCTAATACAAAGACCAACAACACTAAAAAATCACCTCTGACTAATGGCAGCGTAACAGATGAAAATATAGAACAAGAAGAAATACAAGAAGAGCATGATGATGACAAAGAAGAGAAAATCGAGGCAAACGAGGATGAAACCACGGTGTCTACAAAAGAAAAAATGAGGAAGTCAACTTTACCTTCAGAAATAAGTAAAGTAAACAACGAAGTTGCACTCCCCGCAACTCCTATTACAGGGAGAAGCGGAAGATCTGCTAAACAAAAGGCAGTGAATAAGTTGCACTCCGATATGAACGACCTAAATGATTATCAGCAAATGTCAAAGAGTTCTAGGAAGATGAAATCATACATGGAAGAACTCGAAAAGAGCTCATCTGCCAAAAGAAAGGCAGAAGTTGAAAATAAAGACACCAATACTATTGAGACACCTGTGAAGACCAAGAAACGTAAAACCGAATCACCTAGAACAGATACCGATACTAAGATAGTGGCAATAATAACAGGGTGCGAGAACGAAATCACATTGACGCGTCAAGATACCCAACATTTAAATCATATTGGAGTCAAGGTATTATCAGATTACTCGACAAAGCAAGGGATCAACACTCTAATTGCACCTAGGATATTACGGACAGCTAAGTTTTTACGTTCTCTTAGTCAGGTGGATAAGATTATTCACCCCAATTATTTAATAGACGTATTGAAAAAGTTGAACTCATCGCAGGATGTCGATGGAGACCAAATATCTAAAGAATTTTCAATTAACGACTACTCGCTAGATAAAGTCATACCCATTAAGGCCATTAACCAAGAACTTGGTGTTACCAATGCTAAAGAAAATGGTTTGGCTAATTTATTGAATACTACTAACAGAGGCTTAATCTTTCAGGATTTGAAAATTAACTTGTCTAGTAATTTAGTTGGAGGTATACAAGTGATATCGGAAATCTTGGAAAGCCATGGGCTTGCAGAGGCCAAGAGCATTAAGTCTGTCACGGCAGCTAATACAAAAAGCTTGCTTACGAATGATGACGGCAAAACAATTATGGTAGCTCACAAATCGAAAGATGCTAAATTAATCACTAGCTTCAAGAAGAACGTACAAAATGGTGTAATTGTTGAATGGGATTGGTGTGTCAAGTCTATTTTTAAGATGAAGCTCGAGGAATTCGACTCGTATCAACTTTAATAGTATAAGTTAAATATATAGTTTAATGAACACAGTCTACATTTAAAAGATCAGGCAAAAAGAATTTATTGAATTGAACAAACCAAACGTAAATAGATAAAGTTTTATAAAAACATTCCTGTTAATTTATAATAGTACGATCATGAATAGTAATTTACAACATAGCGAAGAGACTTCAAATGTCAATCAAACTTGGCCCATCATTAGGTCTCTGCTGCTGTTGCGGGTTGGCGTTACCAAATCCGTAACCAGTATAGGCAGGATTAATTTGACTTTGCTGTTGGTACCCAATGCCGGTATTTAAGAACGGATTGCCGGTAGCGTTCGAACTCAATTTGGCTTCATCATAGTTTTGTTTGTAACCAGTACCACTTGAATTTATAAATTGTTGGGTTTTTGTATGTTGATGAGGGATTCTTGCAGCACCTGTGTTACCAAACGTATCGATACCAGTACCTTGAGCCAATAAATTGTTCAAATCAGCATGAGTTGAGTCATCAAATTTAGACGAAGACGTAGTTTGCGGCTTGAGTTGTGACGTTGGCTGGGTGAAAAATTGGGGCTGTTGTTGCTGCTGTTGTTGCTGTTGAAGTTTTTGTTGCTGAAGTTGCTGTTGATAGAGATCTTGTTGTTGTTGTTGTGAAGCTATATCGTTTAACGACTGGGAAGCTGGTTGCTGTTGAGCAGACTCACTCTGTAATGCGAATGGGTTGTTCGAGCCAGTCTTCAACGGCTGCAATTCTTGAGGCTGTTGTTGCTGTTGCTGGGGACCATTGAATCCGGTAAACAGTGGCTGTTGTTGCATTGGTTCCTGTTGTTGATAGTATTGCTGTTGATATAACCCCGTGTTCATGGCGTTTTGTATTGGATTTCCAAACATATCGTACTGCTGCTGGGTCTGAGTCTGTTGTGGCATCATATAGTACTGAGGCTGTTGGTAACCGGTAGCTAAATAATATTGGGGTTGCGCTTGTTGTTCGTCCAAGTCAAGCAAGTTGTCGTTTTGCTGGTTCTTCAACCTCCTCATCTCTTCCTCCTCCATCGACAACTTCAACGCTGCTTGTAAGTCATCGTCATCGGGGGTCTGGTTCTTGCGCCTGGCCTCTTCCTCGGCCGTGATCCTCGACATTTCTAACGCCTTTTGCATCTCGTCATCATCTTCGCCCGTAACGGGTCTGCTCTGGTTGCTGTTGACAGTGTTTCTTCTCGAACCACGACGGTTTCTTCTCTCACGACCAGGACGGTGACCCTGGCCATTCTGGGCACTCGCAGCCAACTCTCTCTCGTGCTGCAACCTCTCGTCGTCCCTCAACAACGACACCAATTCTTTGGCCTTCACCCGGATCACCGCTCCCTGGTCATTGTCCGCCTCGTCAAAGTGTATGAACTCCCGCAATGTCTTGATAATATACAAGTTGTCCTTCGACCAGAGCACACATTTTTCAGATCCGTATCTCACCAAGTAGTCCAATACCGTCAATGACTTGGCCACATGTCTCCAATTCTTCCCCTTATCGTTAAGACGACGGTCGAGCATATCCATGATCTCCAAAAAGTCTGTTTGCGATTGGTACGTCCGTGAAGCTATTTCTTCCATATCAAAAGTGGTCGGCCCCGATGGGTCGTTGGACGTAGCGTTTCTAACGAGCACCTGTCCCGATGAATACCCGTTGGTGACATTTTTAATAGAACGAACAAATGATTTTGACATGATGTAGTGCGTTCTGCGTGTATAACCGATGTATTAACCGTGTTGAATGGTGTTTTATCGATTTATGTCCCATATATGGGTCCCCTTTATGTCCCAGGAGCCATCTCTGAGCAAGATCGTCTGAGCCCGCACGGTTTTGTGTAATTTCCAACCCATCCACCTATTTGATACAGACTACGACGGGATCGAAGTCGTCTACTGCTGAAAGCGGTAGACGGCTGGGCCAGGCGGAAACCAGGCTACCTGGCCATACAAATATCGGACCCATACCACCCCGTTCATACCCTCCTGTTCCCACCGAAGGTTAAACTGGTAGGGACACGTCCACACCACCAGGTCCCCTGTCCTGGTCCTACTTAAGCCACCGTCACCAGACAATGGGGGAGATAGGATAACTACAGGTCGTAGCACGGCTCGATCAACTAGTGGGCCGTAGGTGCTGGGTCCTTCGGACCCAGCGGCCTCAGGACCCCTGTAGCCACCCTCGCTCTTTTGCAATCGTTCTTCCAAAAACATTCTCCACGCCGTGCCCAACGAACCACACTCTCTGGCCCCTGTCTACACACCTTAGACTACGTACTCTGGCCCAACTTTGACCCCCGTGCCGATGGCAATCCCTGCCCACACGTGATGGTCCGTCTACACCCCCAGAAGGGCCAAAAAATTGCCCATGATAGGTTTTTGCTGCTTATATAAGCAAGAGCTAAGGTTTTTCACCGACCGGAAACCTGGTGGATTATAAGCAAAACATATACTGCCAGAGGAAAAACGCCATCATCGATTGTTAGTGAAGGCATATACATTCAGATACATCGGTAAGGAGCAGAAACACGCGCCAACCGTACGAATCAAAACAGCGATCATCAAAGAAGTTACGAGTGGAAAAAAAAACTTGGGACATAATTAGTCGAAGAGGTACTAAATAAGTGAATCGCGCATAGTATGAGTGAAGTTAGAAGGTGTCGTAGATGCAAGAGAAAGAGACTCGATGATGAGCCACCGGAGGTACGTCAGTATAAGACGTGTGCTAAGTGTCGGATCATTGAAAGACAGAAAAAGAAGCTGAGGAAGCCATTGGCGGAGGAAACGATGATATACGGGATGAAGCAGTTCCAGCAGCAGAACCAGAATGCCAATTTTATTCACGACGATATATTCATGGATGACGATGTGTTCAGTGGAGGTGTGCGTAATAGTGCCAGACGGTATGAGGGCGACGGAGTGGTGAATCCGCTGCAACAGCAGCAGCAGCACCAACAGCAGTTCTACCAGTTCCAGCCCCAACAGTCATCGCATGTAGCGATGCCCACGGCGTCGCTGGCACCGGTGGCGCCGCTCCACCAGGTGCAACACCAGGTGCAGCAGCAACAGGTACAACAGCAGCAACAAGTACAGCAACAGCAGGCTCACCGGGCCCACCAACAGCACATGCGCAACATGCCAGTGCAGGTGTCGATGCCCGAGACGGTGTCCCAGCAGCCGATCAATTGTGAGATCTGCTCCACCAAGTTGGACCGCAACGACGAGCTCAACATGAATTACAGGCTCTGCTTGGAGTGCTATTCGAACCCGTTCAGACAGGACAACGTGTACGGCAACTACAACGAGTTTTTGATGGCCATTACTACGCACAAGTACAAGGATATAAAGAACTACATATACATCAAGGAGACCGATAAGACGTTTTCGGACCACTTGGTGTTCCAGAATAGACCCATCAACAGCGAGAGGCTGTATCGGGAGTTTATCTTGGAGAATATCCAGATCATCTACCTAGACCCCATAATTGCGTCCCTCGGGTGCAAATTCAACAGGGTATCGTCCAACGTGTCGGAAACCAACTCGCTTCCACCCGTGTTCAACCCCGTCATCAACCAGTACCAATATAAAAACACCAAGCCCATCAGGTCGTACCACAAATACTACAAGGAGTCGGCATGCGACGCCAATATCTACATGACCTTCGATTTTTCCACCAATATCTTGACCGTCAAATTGAATCAGAAGGTGTTCAACAACTCGAGCAACTACCCTTCGAAGTTCATCGACTTGGTGCACTCGATCTTGAAGTCGTTGGCGACCCAGGACTCCAAGGCCAATGTTGGCTACAACTACCATACAGCCCTTATAATATTCGACGAGTTGATGAAAAATAAGTACTCGTACCCCCCAGACATCCAGCAATTTCTTTCCACCTGCAACAGCTCCGACTTTGCCAGAGACTTCATCAACTTCGAGGAAACCACCGAAGTCGATGCCACGGGCAAGAAGGACTATCTTCCCGCCAAAAAGGATGATGCAGACGAGCCGGTGCCAGACCAAGTCCACGGCGACACTCGCCAGGCCACCCACGCCGATGTCGACGACGAAGAAGACGACGAAGAAGATGACGAAGACGAAGAAGACGAAGAAGATGAAGAAGAAGAAGACGAAGACGAAGACGATCGTGAACCCCAGCCGGGTCCAAATGCCTCTCAAGAAGTCCACTCCCGCCATAACACGGACACTCCAAGCAAGACTCCGATCCCAATGTCTGAGCCTCAGACGCAAATCAACCCTACAATTAACTCTGATTCCACTCAAAATGGCCTCTATCCGAAGCCCACGGGCGAGAACTTGGATCCGGCCTTCGTACAATGACAATAGTCCTATAATTGTAGTTGTATAATTAATAAATTGTTTTTTTATATATTGTTAGCGTAGAAGCATTATAATCTATTTTTCGCGTAGGAGTATACTAAGAAAAAAAATTTGATTCGAGTTGATCCTGAGTTTTTCTTTCTTCTTTATCAACTGCTAGTACCATGAAATTGACAATTGTCTTATCGGCCGTTATAGGGTTGGTTTCTACAGTTCAGGGCATTTGGTTGGATACCAACAATGTGACTAATTTGAAGGAAGTCAGTGCAATTTTCGTTGAGGGTTTGCTCGACTACTATGATGGTAATGAATACGGAGGAACCATTGGGATGTTCACATGGCCATATTATTGGTGGGAAGCCGGTGGAGCATGGGGATCGCTCATTGACTACACGTATTATATGGAAAATGACACGTATGTGCCGTTGATTAAACAGGCATTGGAATATCAGACAGGGGACGATCTCAACTATATCCCCCTTAATCAGTCGACCACCGAAGGTAATGATGATCAAGGGTTCTGGGGGCTTGCGGTGATGGCAGCGACCGAGAAGAATTTCAGTAACCCCGATAACGAAGATAAGCATTGGTTGGCGTTGACGCAAGCGGTGTTCAACACGATGACTGCGAGATGGGACCACAAAGAATGCCACGGAGGGTTGAGATGGCAGATTTTCCAGTGGAACTCGGGTTATGACTACAAAAATTCGGTTTCCAATGGTTGTCTTTTCAATATTGGGGCCCGATTGGCCCGGTACACCAGTAACGATACGTACATGGAATGGGCTGAAAAAGTGTGGGACTGGATGTACGGTATCGGATTGTTAACCGAGGGAGAACACTGGTATGTCTACGATGGTGTTACTGTCGGTGGAAACTGTTCTGATATCACCAAATTGCAATGGTCATATAACCAAGCATTGTTGTTATCGGGCTGTGCTTTCTTGTACAACTATACCGAAGACGAAATGTGGTACAACCGTACCATGAGATTGTTAAGTGGTGCCCAGGTCTTCTTCAAAGACGATATTATGTATGAAGCTGCGTGCCAGGGTTCCAACAACTGTAACCAGGATCAACGTTCGTTCAAGGCGTACTTTTCTCGTTTGTTGGGATTGACGTCCGTCATGGTGCTAGACACAGAGCCGGTTATTACTGAGTGGTTGGTTGCCTCCGCCAATGCTGCGGCCAAGAACTCGTGTACTGGGGGTAGCGATGGCCACACCTGTGGGTTGAACTGGCAAAACGGTACTTGGGACGGATACTATGGTCTCGGTGAACAAATGTGTGCGTTGGAAGTTGTCACCAATTTAAGAGTTCACGACCTTCCTCCACCGTATACTGCTAACAATGGTGGTTCATCCAAGGGTAATCCTGCTGGTGGTTATGCTGTCACAAACACCGATTCGTCTCCATTAAATTTGGATAACGGTGATACAGCTGGGGCCAGTATTATTACGGTTATTATTGCTGCCTCGCTCATAGGATCGGGTGTTTGGTTAATTCTATAGTCTATGTATATTTCTATTCAGTTCTAAGCTCTATTTATATGTTTAACGTGTAGTTTTAGAAAAATTTACATTTCTTTGTTATGTTAGTATTAATGGCTATATAAAAAATTGAGGTCAACTGACCGACTAATACCGGTGGCGATGTAAGTACTCATACCATAGATAAACACATAATTTGTTAATTATACAGTGAATATGAGTTCTGATGATCAGTTTACGTCCATCCAATGGGATAGAGATGAATTAGGGCCTAATAAAGAGACGAAAGTCAATAAACAAGAGACAATTACTGAAGATGATGAGCATCATAATAATGATAACGAAGATAAGGATAAGGACACAACCAAGCAGAATGAGGCCGAAAACATCCCGGAAGACGATGAGACTAAGGATGATAACGAGCCTACTGACTCGTTGATTCTTTCCAAGACAGGGGACGATAATATCAGCAAAGTTGAGTCGCAGAACGAAGGTGACCATATTGTGGGAGAACCTGGTGTTAACGAGGAACCGACTTCTGATAGTCAGACTGAAACATATGAAATCAACGTGAAAGTTACGTCGCCGTTAAGAGATTTGGATAGTTCATCGAAACCGTACATTTCATACTTATTGACGACTACCACTAATCATCCATCCGTGATGAAGCTTTCAACCGTGAAGAAAGAACAGGAGAAAGATGTTGTCGAAATTACGGCAAGGAGAAGATATGGTGACTTCAGGTTTCTCTTTGACTGCTTGAGCAACGATCATCCGGAAGTAATGATGCCACCGTTGCCATCGAAGCTGAATTTTAAATATTTGACGGGGGACACATTCAGCACGGAGTTTGTTCACAAGAGATTGCACTCGTTGGATAGATTTGTCCGGTTTATCACCTGCCATAAGGTGTTGTCTCAGCTGTCGATTTTCCATTTGTTTGTCAGCGACTCAGCGGACTGGTCGACATTTCAAAAGAATTTGAAGATTAGTAAAGTTGGGGTACAGGAATCAGATGCCGACAAAGGTAACCCTTCGATGACATCGAACGTGGTGAACAAAGTTGTTAATGAGGATCTCTTGACCGAAACGATCATGAACTTTTTAACTCCTTCGAAACATAAAAGAGAGACCAATAAAGAAATTCTTGAGATCAGCGATAAATTGAAAAAGCTTTACGAAAATCTAATTAAGTTGGATAAAATATTCACAAAGTTGAACAAGAAGAACCATGATTTAAGTGTTGATTACGAGCAGTTTCTGCAACAGATTATGAAACTATCAGTAATCCAGAATTCTCTGGACGAAACAAACGAGTCTACCACCCCAGAGATCAACGAGCAGAAACAATTTGCGATGAATTTCAAAGTGTTTGCTTCGTCTCTCTCCTATTTTCTGGATAATTGGTCCAACTTGCATAAATACATAGACGAATCGTTCTTAGTATCCTTGAAGGATTGCGCCAAGTATATCATAAGTTTAACCAACCTCATCGAGTTGCAGCACAATAAGAAAATAGATCTCCAGGTATTGCAAGACTATCTTAATAAGGCCAAGAGCGAGTTGCAAGGCTTAGGTGGGTCTCACAATGCGCCTCCCAACCCAATCATAACCCACAACAACGGAGGAATAGTCAATAACACAACCCAGCTCATCAGAGACACATTATCAACGTCGGCCACTCCCAACATCGGTTCGTCCGTCACCGAGAACAAGGTCACCAAATTGCAAAACAAAATAGCCGAGTTGGAAAATGAAATCTCAGTGCAGTCACAGTTGGTTCTCGACTTGACAAACAAGATAATAAACGAGGAGTATCCAAACTGGGATAAGTTTAACAAGATCGAGTTGAAGGAATCGTTGCTCGGCCTATGCAACGAAGAAATTAGTTTCTACAAGGGTCTAGTCGACAATTGGAGTGACATCGAATTGAAATTACTTAAACGGTTAGACGAGTTAAAATAGCTGTCTATTCATTATCGCCCCTATTACTTTATTATTTATCCATTCAATTCTTGCTCTGTAATATTCTTACATATTTAGTACTACATTTTTCATATGCATATTGCAAATTTTCATGTATTATCCGTACCCAATGTAACAAACTGCCATTTGTAAATATCCCAGCTTCTCTCAGGGGGTCCACCATCAAATGGCGCCCCTTAATTGCTTTATTTCTGGTATAATTGTCATCATCAATAAAATTTGCAATAACACTTCCAGGCAAAGTCGCGATTACCAGCTCTTCCGGTAAAAAGCGTCAGAATTTCTTGATCTTATTATCATTCATCTTACAACAGACGCTATATTTAAGAGATAGATTAAGCATCAATGCAATTAATATATCATAAAAAGCTCAGCGTGATAACTGGGTTATTTATATTATCGTTAATAAATTTAGTTTCGGGGTACGTTACAAAGTTTAATGAACTAAATTCTCAGGTGTGTTCAGGTATATATTCTAAGCATGATTGGGGTGGAAGCTTTAAACCAAGTATTGAAATCAAATTGCTTTCATACGGTAAAGATAAATACGATTCCAAATCAAAGGATCAAAAGGAGAAGGAAGATATTTCTGTGAGTTACGTTATTTTTGAATATAAGGACTTAGGAAACATTGGGTATGATCTTGGCGATGGGAAGTATAAATACATTTGTGACGACTATGCAATCAACGACTTAGGAATATGTGAAAAGAAGCAAAAGGGTAAATTTATTATCCAATCGACATCGCCCAACTCAACGATTATGACGTCGTCATTTAACCATCTTGGAGAGGCAAATATTCATTACAATGTGTCAAGATCCGGGTATTATTGTATTTCGACTGTATCGATGAACGATAAGGGTTATTCGGGGGCAATGAACTTCCAAAATGCGTTCGGTCACTTGAGTGCTAGTGAAATTCCGAAGTTACCAGCATACGGTATATTGACTATATTCTACGCCATTGCGTTAGCATTATACGGATTCCAATTTTACAAGAAGAGAAATCAGAACCAGATCTTACCTTTGCAAAGATACTTGTTAGCTATGTTAGGATTCTTGACTTTCGACACCATCGTCGTCTGGTCGTACTATGACTTAGTAAACAGAACCAGGAATCCTCTGGCGGGATTCGTGACATTCTACATGTTCTTCCTTTCGTTTATGAATGCTACTAAGACTTCCTTTTCGTTTTTCTTGTTATTATGTATTTCGTTGGGTTATGGTGTTGTGGTGCTCAAATTGAAGAAGAGTGTCATGTTGAAATGTAAAATCTTGGCTGGTTGTCACTTTGTGGCTACAATGGTCTATTTGGTTTCGAATTACTACAATGGATCGGCTTACACCACATCATCAGGCTCTTCGAGCTCCATGAATAATTCTGGGGCTGGCGACTTGCTTGGATTATTGCCATTGATTCCAGTTACTATAACTTTGACCGCTTACTATTTGGCAGTCTTAATATCAATTAAGAAAACTACCGCCAATTTACATAAACAGCGTCAAATTATTAAGTTACAACTTTACCAAAACTTGTTCAGAATTATCTTTCTGTCTGTTGTTTTAACTTTCGGGGGTTTAATTTTATCGTCATTTATCTACTTAAGTATGTCCACGACTGAGATGATCGAGGAACATTGGAAAGGTGCTTTCTTTATTTTTGATTTCTGGCCAAGTGTTGTATTCTACGGTGTTTTCATGGGAGTTGCATGGTTATGGAGACCAACAGAAACTAGTTACATGTTGGCAATTTCACAACAATTGTCTACTGAGGAAACTGCTGATAATGAGGATGGTGAAGCCGATATTGGCCAGGGATACCACCGCGGTCATGAATTTGAATTGGATGACTTATCTTTAATAAGTCACAGCGACAATGAAAACGAACCTCCTGCCGATCAGGATAGTTTCGAATTATCGAGAGATGAAAATCCTCCTCAATATAGCGAAACCGATGACGACAATAAGAAGTCAAAGAAAAAAGAAGAACCTACTGATACTGGTAATACACTCTTTGAATTAGGAGAAGAGAGCGATGATGAGAATAAGGATGATGATCGCTTAAATAGCAAATAAAATACATAGAGAAGATTAAAATAATAAACAAATTCTTTCATTTATTCTATTATTTAATTTATATAGTTGAACTATAAGCCGGCCCAAATTGAGCCACCATTTTTATGCACCTCTTTAGCTAATTCTTCAACTTGGCCATTCCACTTACATAAATGATTATACAACACATTGACTTGATCTAAGTTCAAGATTCTTGGTTGCAACCAGGTTACCACTAATACTTCGTCAATTTGATTGATATACCCTTTTATAAGATTCAATGAGAAACATTTGATAATCAAATGTTCCACATCATTAACAGGAGTACCTGTGAATTCTGAAATCTCCTTAAAGTTTAATTGTTTGTTTGTAGTAGACTTCATTGAAATCAATTCTAATAACGACATTATAATAACCTTCTGCTTTAAGAATACTTCGGAAGCTTTCAAAAATGGAGACTTTTGGAATCCAATTGCCAACCACTTATTGAAATTCTTCAAATTACCAGAATTTAAACTATGGATCAAGTTATATAACCAATCGTATTGAGAGTCTTTGAAGCAATTCAAGATATCATGCAAAAGCAATTCACCAAAGTTATAAATCTTATCTCCTAGTAAGGCAGCAATACAGAGATCGTAGCATAACATTTGTTGCTCTTCGATCGACAAGCTCTTGTTCTTTATCGACGATAAGTATAATAATCCATTCAAGTAAAATAAGTTGTAGTTTTCATTAATCTTGTACAACTGACATTTGGTAAGGTAAAACGCCGAATTGATCTTGGAGCTGAATTCATTTTCAAATGTGCTTTCGAACTTTGGATTTAAATGCTCTAAAATGGTCTCTGATTTTTCCAAGTTGTTCAATATTAAGTAGTAACGGGCTATCTGCAAATCAATGTAAATTATAGATTCCTCATTATTGATTGTTTCCTCAATTTCCGACTTATTAGTGTAATTATTTCTCAATTGCTTTACAAAGTTTCCTTTTAATTCCAATAACTTGTTTAAGCATTCTTCCTTGTTATCTTCAAAACTAGCTAATAAGAAATCAACTACTTGAATAGAATTCAATTTCTGTGAAAATTGACTGATGAAAAGATCATAGATCTTGATTCTTAATCGATTATTCTTCGATTCTGGGTTTTCATAGAATTCATTTAATGTTAACGTTAATTGGTGATATAATTTTCTTTCATAATAGTCTTCTAATTGGTAAAAAATATTAATTAATTCATTTGATTCTGTTTCCAGCCTCAATGTACTTAATACGGTGTATACGTCGTGGTCGACATCCATAGCTGACATGTTTATTAGCTTTTATTGTGGAATATACATCTATATGCTTTATCTTGCCACCTTATTTCGTGAAGCATGTTGAATGGGTATGGTAGTGCATATATCAAATATTCCACCATTAGAGAATGATTGCAAAAACCACTGTATTGGCAGTATAGATGGGTGGATAGTCGTGGGGTCGGTGGTATGAGGGATAATAGGGGGAATGTTAATGCTAGTGGATTGTTCTGGTTACCAAGAACATCAAGATGTTAGGTTTCTGGCTTCTTAATTTGGAATAGGTGCTGGAACTTTGGTGTCTTAGAACCTGACCGCAGGCTCCAAAATACCTTCAATCATTGGTATAATGAGGGCTTTGACTGGTTTATAGTTTATCTTACTGTTTGAAGAAGTTCTCTTTGTAGTAGTAGCCAACCTTTAGTATTTTATCCGTTTTTTGCATCGAATGGCTATATTACACAGAAATTACACGAAATAGTGATAAATGAAATCACTCCCACATCTTCTACATCTCACACCACCAGTAAAATACAGATGTACATGCATCTCCGTATCTTCAACCTACGTAAGTGTTTCATTAATTACTAGCGGCCACAAAATCACGTGTTATACACTATAAGACCGTTTGACTATAACATTTAGGTAACATACTAGAGTAATAGAGTAGCATACTACGGCAAAACACCAGAGTAACGCACTAGCGTGCCATAGACTAAGTATCGAAGAGATTTCTTCAAGAACGTAAGTCCAACAGATAACAGTGAATAATGGTCAATTCTGTGAAATGGAAAATTCCAACATGAATACCACAACTCATTATTATCAACTGGCAACTTGTAAGCTGTTTCAATTCATAGAGGAATATCCCATATCTTGGAACAAGTATTTATAAACCAGAGATGATTGCCGTCCTTTCAACGTTTGTAGATGGATGGATGAAAAATTATGATTATATGCCGTACTTATATCAATCAAGTATTTTTACGGATTACTAGCTATTGGAATAACTGAATCGACCATAAAGCATGGCATCCCCAATTTTGATATCTAACCCTTCGAGTAGTGTATCGGTACTTGCAATTGTTAGAGGTATTCAGTTAGCATTGCTTGGTGGATATAGATCGTTGCAAAATCGACAGTTATATGAAACCGATGTCTGCTGTCTAGCATTGCGGTTGATCCAGATTTCGATTATAATACAACTTATATTATGGACCCCTGCTTACTTTTGCAGATTTGTTACGTATATATTGTCTCATTTATTTAATCGGAACATGGCCGTTGACTTTGATATTGATTACCTACTTAGCATATTGAATATGAATTACGTGATGATCTCATCCATACGATTTTTCGAGCCGAGATTAGATGGCATTTTCCTTATGACATTGCTGTTCATGGACAGCAAATCCGATCAGCAGTACTATGCCAACTTGATGAGGTTGTCATTTGAGCACACCGAAGACTTAGAGTCTCATATATCCATTTTGACTAGCATTAAACGGAAGTACAATAATTCTATACAATTTCGAAAATTTGTGAAGACAAACACTAAAACCAGTTTAAGTACGCTTTTAATTTATTTAATGTGCAAAAAAAGCTCTAAGCTAGAATCAATAATCATTGTCGTTCTTTCATTTCAGAACTTCGACGATAAAATTGGTACGGTTTCATCATTGATATTACTGGCTATTTTATCAATCATTCCAAAGCACTATAGTTTACAATTCATAACAACATTCGGCGGATCCTGCAGCTTGATGCAAGACTTATTAAATCCATACTTTACTAGAATTAGTTTGAACAATTTGGAAAAAAATCAATGGGTTAGATCAAGAGAGGGATTATTACTCGGATTCAGCATTTGTTATTTCTTAATTATACGGAAGTTACCTTGGATAGGTCTTTTGATTTATGGAGTTGCTGAAGCAAGCACTGCATACTTGGTAACCAAAATTTCAAATCCTCCACCAGAAAAGCCAAAGCAATTAATTAATTGGTGTTCTACCCAATTGATTTGGAGTGTCGAAGAACAGAGTCGTATCTTGGACGGAAACTTTATCTTTGATAAGAATTTTATGCCGTTCCCTGGCTCCTTCTTTTTCTATCCACCGCCTAACTGATCTCATATTTTTTATTTCCACTGTATATACAGAAATCTAGGGTTTCCATCAACGTATTTATTATCCAGCTTTCTTCAGGCATATGTTCATAGATTATATAGTTAAACATTTTTAATTCATCCACTTTATTTTTCAACTCCAAGATTGGCAAAAATGTTAATTTGCATCTACTCCATTTATGGTTCGTGGTGGAAGTAATCATATCAGTAGTATCATCGTCTATAATATCATTAACTGACACTCTGAACGACTCCTCAAAAAATCTAGTGCTTAATTTAATTTCGGTTTCTATTGGGAACTTCGATTCGAATGTTGCATCGGTCTCTGACATGAGTAGGTAATAATTAACAACTATGAATTGATCCAAGTTAGAAGTTATCTCAGGATTATATTGATTTATAAAGGATATTATCAATTTGCATAGGTGTTTTATTATGATTCCTTCGATTTGTTTCTGCTCATTATCAATTTGACGGTCAACTTCACTTATATTATTGGTATCAGGAAATTTAGATGTTAAGATACTCAAAGATTTTGATACGATAGTATTAAAGTTAAACAAATACTGTAAATTCTTAATCGTAACATTTTCAACAAAATTTACAATCAAGTATTTTCTTAAGTCTGTTATGTTGTTTATATCAATAACGGCATCACTTATATCAATGAAGTTATTTTTCTTGAAACTTTGAATGCTTTCAATGAATGTATTGATTTCGTCTTGTTTATTATCACTAATCAATTTTGGAAAATTGGGAATTTCATTATATTTATTGAACCACAATTGATTCAAGTAACTTAAGGACGTACATGAAAGCCTAGTATCTTCCATTTGAGTATATAATTCTCTTATAGGTATGAAGCCTATATTAAATTCAAACTTAGATAATATTGTGTAATTCAATACATTCTTAGGGTAAATCCTGTAAATAATAGAAACAAGTCCATTTGAATTCAATCTTGTACAGTAATTGATAAAATTACCTTCAACTACGTTATTTAAGAATGGTGTCGTCGCATTATTTTCCGATTCTTCCACATCATGTTGCTTTGAATTATAAAGCTGATACTTGTGTAAGTTCTTCGATACAAATTTGGTTAAGCTATTATGAGGCGTCTTGGCTTGAATGTTTCTAGTTTTCAAATCAAACAGAACAAGTTCAAATTGTCCAGTCTCAAATGCAATATTTATATCTAAGACAGCTCCATTTTGCGACACATTGAAGGTCCCTGTTACCAATGAACATGTGGATAAATCATGATTTGCTTCATGAACTTTGCTCAATGTATCAATTGTGAAAACTTTTAATTTTTTGGTATTAGTTATCATGAGAAGCATGGTATTTCCTATCGGATAGAAATCACACTGACTTATTAAAAACCGCGAGCCTTTCTGTAATCGTACAGGTTCTGAGCTATTAATTGAATTAGAATTTGGATCGAATGTGAGTTCATATAAAATCACCGAGTTTATTGAAGTAGTTACAGCGAGATAACTATGATATTTTCCAGCTTTAATAAACCAGGAGGACCAAGAGTGCTTAAAAATGGTTTCACCAATGTCAATATTGAGGAATACAGGCAAGCCATCACTTAG